GTAGGCAGGCAGGCAGGCAGGCAGTCAACTCTTAGTGACCACAGAGATTTTTTTTCTAGGAGTATCTGTTTCCAGTAGCCCTTCAGTTCTTCCAGCAGTACATCTATCACAGCTGTAATTTGCTGCTGGTCTTCCTCATCTCTTTCCTTCTACCTTTGTTGACATTACAGCCTTCACCAGAGAGCTAGGTTTTGGCATAATTAGAATGCTGGGTTGAGCAGTTCAGTGATTGATTTGTTTGTTTTCTTGTCTACTGTGGTATTCTCCAACACCAAAGTTCTAAAGCACCAATACCCTTTGTATCCTGTTTCTTCAAAGTCCTTTATCTAAATATATAATATAGTTATATATCCATCCATTCAAAGCTATAAAAAAATCTAATGAAAAGAGGCAGTTCTATTCATGTCCAAGAATGTTGTACGTTGTGTAGAAGCTGCCTTGCCATGTCATTACTACGGTATATCCAATGCACTTAATTTTTACTTGTTCCTGAATATTGCAAGGATCAAAGCACAAAAGTGCAAAATAACTAAATGTTAAATTTATAGGTTGATACATTATGGGTTAAGTGGCTGCTTTATATTTGCTGTCAATTTCTCCTATAATGTTGCTGCTTGGTGCAGAAACATCTCTAATAAGGTAATGCAGCTCAGGATATATTTATAAAGCTGCCATCCAAGGTCTCTTGTCAGTAAATGAATATTTTCAAAGACAAGACAAAACATATCTACTGAAAGAAAACACTTTGAAGAAGAGATGAATAAGTACTAAGGAGCCCAGGCTATTTACAATTTGTGTCAAATTATGTTGAAAATAAATTCCTATATAGTCTCAAAATAACACTTTTGGAAGCGTGAGTTTATGACAATAAAAATAATTCCTCATTGTAATCCATATAAAAATGCCCTCTTAAAAAAAGAGAGAAAGAAATCTTGCTATCAAAATAAAAATGATATTCGTATTTTAATGGACAGTAATTTCAGGGAACTGGCCCAGCATCTATGGAAGATAATGACTCCTAAATAGTATCTTGAGTTCGTTATTTATTGTATAAATACAATTCTTATACGATTATACTGTGGATATTTGAAGATAAGTGGGGGAAGAACTCATTATTGGTAGTCCTCAAGTTATGACTACAGTTGAGACCAGAATTTTAATTGTTAAGTGGTGGTTATTAAGTAAATGTTGTCCAATTTTACGAGTTGTTTTAATAGTTCTTAGGTGAATCACTTCAGTTAAATTAGTCCTGTGGTCGTTAAGTGAATCTGACTTCGCCCATTGACTTTGCTTCTCAGAAGCTGGCTGGGAAGGTCACAAATAGTGATCAGGTGAACCCAGGATGCTGCAAGTGTTCTAAATAAAAGGTGGTTGCCAAGCGCCCAAATTTTGATCACATGCTCGTATGGATGCTGTCAAAGTCGTAAGTGCAAGGAGTGATTGTCAGTTTTTTGAGTGCCATTGTAAGTTCGAATGGTCATTAAATGAAGGGTTGTAAATCATAGACTATCTGTTTCCCTAAGTATGTTTTTTAACCTCATAAAGGAGATACTATATTGTGCTAGGATGGAAGTCTTGTTGAATGAAAGTCTTACTCCTTGGGGGAACATGCAGAAGACCAACCAACAGAGTCTTCAAGTGTGACTTTTCCCCTTTATCATAGCCACTGTACACAAACATTTCAAGCATTCTTATCTGTCTACATTTCCTCAGATGGATGTACTGCCTCTTTTGTTGTCTCTTAAACTTTGAATTAATATGTATCTATGTGGATTACAGGTGCAGTAAGGAGGACAGTGCATGGTATAAGTGCATTATTTGATGCAATAAAGCTATGTGGTCAAAGTTTAAGAGACCTCAGAAAAGCAGAGGTTGTGTTTAATATCTGAATTTCTGTGTCCTATTTCACACATCACTTCTCAATGAATCTACTTATTTTGCAGTTCCAAGGCAAGCAGATATCACCCTTCCTCTGCAACAGCTGCTCCCTTTGTCATTGAGCATGTTCAGTTGTCTTCATCTTCAGCACCTCCTCATGCCAGTGAAGAAGATAGCCTTCCTCCACACCTTCTGTTACCAGATAGCATCAGCCAGCTAGAAGAATTTGGACGGCAGAAAAACTGGCACAAGAAACAATATAAAATCCACCGCCAAAGGCAATTCAATGATCTATGGGTTCGGATAGAAGAAGGGTAAGTATTATGTGCTTATTTCCAGTAACACTGTCATTCATGCTACTCTGAAAGGACAAGACTTCTTAGGCCCACATTGAAAACCCTTGCAAGTTAATCTCCTTAATTTATGACAGGGATATAAAATGTGAAAGAAACTCTACAAATATAAATTGTTTTTAGAGTCTCAACCGCTCCTTATAACCTTTGTTGCTGTATGTGTAAGATCAGGGAAAAGAAGACAAGACAATAAACAGAGCATAAAAACTCTCAATTGTAACTCAATTTATATGGACAGGTAAATAATAATTGATGTCTGCCCCCAGCTTCCTGTAAAGCTGAAGGCTTTAATTTTTGTACTCCTGTTTCTTAAGTCTCAGAAGCAAAGTTTTCTTTCTTTCCCAGCATGTGTGCTCTCCACTTGAAAGGATAAGAATGCAAAAAATGACATTTCTGTAGTATGTGGACAATAGATACTCAATACCTAAGGAAAACAAAATCATTGCTAACGATCAAAGTGCTTTGGCATTTCTTTCAGCCTAAACATTTATGCACACACACATAGGAGGGGAGGGGAGGGAGGAGAGAGAGAGAGAGAGAGAGAGAGAGAGAGAGAGAGAGAGAGAGAGAGAGAGAGAGAGAGAGAGAGAGAGAGAGAGAGAGAGAGCGAGCTGTAATACATGTACAAGGAGTGATTAAAGGCAACTGCAATAAACTGCGCTAATTGTAGCCACAAATAGTAGCTCTTATCAATTGTGCTAGAATTTCAGACATTTTGCCCTTCCTTTTCAGACAGTGCAATGATACAAAGCAGAACTGTCTGTTAAATGAATATTTAAGTATATCAAGTTGATCCTGAAAGGTGAATTTTGCTATTGTGAACTCATGAACTGTGCTGTTTTTGTGTACTCCCGCTTCCCCCCCAAAAGCCATGAAGCGTGAGGTTTCTATCAAAGAGGAACGGGGAGGTGTATACATGTGTTTGTGTTAATTTATTTAAAAAATCTGCCCTGGTTCTGCATCAGGTTTAAGTTTTACACATTGGTGTGTAAATGACAAGACCTGATTAATACTAGTCCTCCATACTTGCAAACTTCCCTGTTTTTCGGAGCTCTGTCTCATCAGCATTTTTGGTCATACCAAGTTGATTCAATATTTCATCTAATCATGCTTATTTATCAGCCCTTCAGTTCTTCATGCTCAATAAGCAAAGGACTTCAGAGTTGTTGGGAACAGAGAGATGCTGCAACTTGCCTGTTTCCTTTACCAAATACCCTTTGAGCCCTCACCTGTACAGAATTAATGACTACACAGGATTGGGCACAAAGATTGGGCTTCAGATTTATTTTTGGATATGATTGCCCAATGATATGCCAGAAGTTTTAGATGTCATATTGAAACTTACTCATTTCTTGAACATTTCAGCTCAATATCTATGCTCCATAAATTTCTCAGTTCTCGTAGTATAATTGTGCAAGATACTCCGTAATCTGAAACAAGTACAAGGTGGAAAAAGTGCAGCTCCAGTTTCAAAATGGGGTGTGCTTATCTTAGTTTGCTTCCCACCTGTAGAACAAGCGCTTCAGAGAGGGACATGGACATTTTTATTCTGTCGAGGGTTTGCAAATGTTTTCCTTATATTTTGGGAATCCAGAGCCCACAGTGACAAGGTGACATCATGAAAAAAGCTGGTACATCACTTGGGATGCCTTTAACTTTGGCAAAGGGGCATTTTTGGCCTTTAAAATAGATTATGCCTTCCCAAAGGAATGGAAGTCAATAGGAATTTGTACTACTGATGTAGATCCCTGTTTCAAAATTGCTCAAGATCATGTGTAATGGCATCCAAATGAATAGATGAGACTGTTTCTCCATTAGCCGAAAGCCCTAGGAGAGGTATGGCTCATTATATTCCAACATGAATACAGCACTTGTCATGGGAGAGGAGAGCGGCAATGCTATGAAAGACTGGATGAGCCTTTTATAAGATAAATGACTACCTTACCATTCTAATTATTGCATAATAAGTAAGGTCTTCTTCAGGTCAGGGTTGACTCTTGGTGACTTCATGGTCACATCCATGTAGATGTGTTGGCAACAATGTGGAAGTGTACCCGTTGCTTTATTCTGGGATGTTTTAAAAAATACAATGATGTGAGCAGAAGAGAATTAGGAAAAACACCCTCACCACAACCAAGTTTCATTATGTAATCTTATGAGTACCCTGTAAATTATATGTACATATATGCGTTCCATGGCAAAACACCATGGAACTTTGCTGGAGTTCAACTATGATCCTTTACCAGTAGTTTCAACTACTGGAAAAGGATCATATCTACATCTCAGTTGTACCAGCACAATCCTGCCCAGGCTCATGAGGCTGCACCTGGGCAAGTGGTCCAGCATCTGATCTTGGAAGCCCTGATAGTTTCCTCATAGATGTGATAAATGTAGATAAAACATGCAGGTAAATAATGCAAGAGCATAAACTGACAATGTCTAAATCTCTCTTTCCATGGAAGGCTTTTACTTGAGATTTTTTGCCTTATGTTAATAGTCAAGGCATGCCAAATATATTAATTAAAACTTCTAAATAAATATATTACTTAAACCTTGTAAACAAATATGTTTGAATTGTGAGGTCTCAGTAAAATTTCAGTAAAAATCATGCCAGTAGATTCCCCCCCCCATTATTTTGTCTCCAGAGTAAGCAATTTACTCAGTCTGACTTTAGTTTTTGTTCCAATTCTGAATCATCCTATACTTCTTGTTTTAAAATATTGCTTATTCAGTTAGGAAAGATTCCTATGAATGTTTAGGAATTGGAAAAATGAGGAAACATTCAGATATCGTAAAGTGACCCTCATGAAAGCCTTTCTCTATCCCTTCTCTATTAGTATTGCATACTAAAAGCCTGGCCTACCCAGCAATAGTTAGATAACTTCATTCCTTTCATTTACTATCATAATAATTTATTTATGATTTTGAATCCAAAAAGTGCTTTATCCCCAGATACTCTTTTTACATGTTCCCAAAGTCATGTATAATTGTGGGAGGAGGGCTCTGATCTGTTTACATATTAATAGCCTTATAGTTTAAACATAATTAATTTAAAACTGATTCACATTTTCCAGAAAGGAAATCAGTATACTATGGGGAAAAGAAAAGCAATACAGAACTCATAATTGTGTGAAATAGATACAGTGAGTTGAAACATATGTTTAAATTTCAGTAGTAGGGTTTTTACAGGGTTTAAAGCATGATGCTTCAGAATGTTGCATCTTGTCTCTTCCAACAAGAAGAAAAGATGATTAAAAGAATGGGACCTATATTCTTTCAAGACATGGAGAACTGCTTCACGTATTTCACTACAATGCTTCATCCTCTGGGGCTATCAAGTGTCTTGCAAGTATGGCAACTGGATATGCAACTATGTGAAATAAGTTGCATGGTGCCAAATTGATTGATTGATTGAATGAGTGATTGTGTGCCATCAAATCTTAGTGACCACACAGATAAAAGTTCTCCACAATAATCTGTCCCTAACGTGGTCCTTCAGGCCTTCAGTGGTACACTCATCACCACTATAACTCAGCCTATCCACCTTGCTATTGGTTGTCCTCTTTTCTTTCCTTCCACCTTTCCTACTATTAGAGCATTTTCTAAATAAATATGTGTAAAAAAAACCTCTTCCAATGAATAAAAATGATATCATTTCAGTTAGATCTGGGCAATAAATCAGCATTTTAAAAATTAAATTTTGATCTGTATAACTTAAGGATTCTCAAAATTTTCAGGACCACAACTGCCTGCTTTGGGTTTTGTTAGACAAAATAAAGAATAAATAAAATAAAGAACAAAGTCCAAGCTGAGCTTTGATGACACTTCCATTTGGCCTGTGTAATCTTGATCAATTTTTCTGGTCCCTCCTAAGTTGCTTACCCAAGCTACTGCAGTAATGCATTCCTTACTGTAGTTTTGAAATGCAAATAATTGAATGCATATGGCAGGTGACAGGAGTCCCCCACACTATAGTTTCATATGGTTTGAAATCAAGTTCCTAGCAAGATACGGGTTTCTTTCTTCTGCAGGTTTTCTGCCTTCTGCATTTTGAATAACATTTTTTTATTGGTGGTAGTGGTGGTGGCAGTACTAATTGGTGAAAGTTTTGCTGTAATTAAGTTGTTAGTTTTTACAGTGAAACAAGATTTCTTTTCCTGAAATAGGTCAACATAGTGCCTTTTCATTCATCTTTGTTGCAGACTAAATAAATTGAGCAAATCTATACAAACACATCTTTTCCTTCTCTTCTATGAGCTGTTGATTATGTTTGCCTGCAAAATGTCCTAAGTTGTGCAAATGTTTAGGGACATCTAATCTTCTTAGATGCTGGCAAATAGTATCTTTATTCTGTGGTTGTTCTATGTTTCTTGAGTCCACCAAAGAAGATAATCTCTCTCTATATAAGATCCATATGCATGTTTAACAGTGCTAATGAAAAACAGTAGGTGACAAGTAGGCTGCAGAAGACCACTTGTTACCAAAAATTCTGATGGATCATTTAATTTATAAATAGAAATCACTCCATTTGTGTTCTCCATATTTTCAAGTTTCATTTCCTAGATTGGGGTCCCCCACCTTTTGAGCACCAGGGACCAGTTCTGTGGAGAGAGGTTTTTCCACGGACCGGAAGGTGCGTGGTTTTGTGTGCTGCCTGCATCCCACGGATGGGGTTTTGCTAGTTTGTGTGGACCAATTGCTGGCATGCCGCAGCCCGGAACTGGTCCACGGACCGGGGGTTGGGGACCACTGTCCTAGATGTTCCACAGAACAATATATAAATCTCTTACTTTTTTTGTTGAACACCTAGTTGTGTTTGTAGGGGGAAGCTGGAGGAATCCTATTTTTCTAGCAGCAACATCAACAAAGCAATTTTATTGAAGTTTATTACCTGTAATGGATATTAAAAAGGTTTTCATTCTTTCTTTGAATTCTCTGCTGTGTAATTGTTCTTTATATAAATTTAAGTGTGCAGATAATATTTGTTTCAATAATCCTAAGTGAACCTCAAACAAGATTGAAGAGGTTTGCCACTGTTGACTAGCTACAGGAATCCTATTTTTCTAGCAGAATTGACTAGGAGACTTGAGGGTTCTCCCGTAGTTTGAAGCTGTTTATACTTTAATTTAGCCACTTTCTAGATTGTTTGGCCTGGTTTAATAAATATAAATAATTGCTTAGTTTTTGATAGGTGTGTCTTCTAAGCCTACTCTGATATTGCAAGTTAGGATTAGGGTTAATCCTAACCACAGTGCACAAGTAAAACACAGGCAAAGGCACCCTCAACAGCGATATAGCTATAAATTTTTGTATAGCTTACATCTAATAAAATTATCTCTTTTGTACAGCTAGTAAATATGTGGAAGCTCTGTCTTCTTTTTCACCTGACCAGTTAATTAATCTACTTGACCCTGCAGGTTCAGTGGCCTTTTTTCCAGGAATAAAGGTTTATAGTTTTCTGTCTGTCTGCTTATTTGATCATGAACCCACTTCCTACTCCTTTCTGTTATTCTGTCAAATGGTAAAGGATGGGGTTAGCCCTAAGAATAGGAAAGTTCAGCTGCACCAAAAGTGGTTATAAGATTTGTGGTTGAGGTCAACTCTCTTAGATTATTTGAAATGTTACTTCCTAATAATCTAAGAGGAGAAGAATACATTGTTTCTTCAAGGTTCTGTCCCATTTAAATACTTCTGAGCAAGGAACAAGAAGAGAATGTGCTCTTGAAAATTGGCTTTTTATCAAATTTGCTTTTTACCTAAAGTGTGATGCACAACTAATATACACAACTAAGACAGGGGAATACTTCTTAACTGCCACATAAGAGAAAGGTAAGAGATCAATGAACAGAACTCCTGCTACAATAGCAGAATTTGGAGTTTATTTCAATTTTTGTTTCCAAATAGTCATTTAGCTTCATATTAATTAACTAGCCTTAAATAACTTCATAGTCAAATAGATTTTGTGTCTGCTTAGGGATGAGACTTGCTCAGTTGGTGCCTCTCAGAGATGTCAGCCAGTTAGGGAATGCAGTTAGGGATGTAGACATTTTCCATGACAGTCTTAACTATCCAGACTTTGTGCCTATCCAGCTAACCTTCTGCCTTGGCTAGCTGAGAAAAATTGGCAGAATAAATGATACATACAAAAAGAGTCTACTCTCAAAGCAGAGACATGGATGAAAAATGGGGTTGATTCTTCAGAAGACACTGGATCGACTGTGGTGATAAGTCATAGTAAATGGTATTATGAAGAGATGTTCCCAAAATGTTACAAACAGAATCAAAGCATTTTTGGGAGGTGGGAAAGAGGGCAAAAGGGAGAGTTAATGTTGTTATACATTGTCTCAGGACCACACACGCATTTCATGAAAATCCATATTTTTCAGCCACATCACTCTGAGCAGTTGTAGCAACTTCAGAATTGTTTTGCTTTTTATTGCAAAGAATGAATGATCTATCATTTCCTGACAGATTGTTTTTAATAAGGATGAAATTCTTGTTGCCAAATTAAAAAAAAAAAACTTCTCACATCTTTAATTCATTAGATTGGAGATGGAATAATCATTCCAAGCATATGCTTCAAAGGTTATTAGATTTTTCAAGGCATTCACCCCTCTGCAGTTGTCTGAAACAGTAAATCTAAGCACCAGTTTTTCTCAGTAGAGACTATCTTTTAAATATGTGGTATTTTCATTTTCATAATCTAGCTAAAGTGGGGGGAGGGGGGAATCACAGCAAAGAATGTTATTTCAGTAAGAACAAACCTTAAACAGACAGACCTGCCTGTCGTCTATTGAAAGGTATGGGGTCCTTTTTATCTATCTCAAAAATAATAATGTTAGTGACCCCACATGATAGTTTTAGATATCACCAGAAGTTTAAAAAGCTATGCTAAGAAAACTAGGTGTTTTCTTGGGCAAAACCTCGAACCAATCCACTTTCCATTGGAAATGCCAAGTAGTCAATATCCTAACCGTAACTATATAATTTTCAGATGAATTTGCAAAAGAGAAAACTCTGAGCCTTTTGCTCTGTTTTATTTCTTTTTATGACCTATCTTGTTTCTTAATTCATCTTTTTACTCTGAAGTGTCTCCCAAATGCATTCTTCAAATCTTTCCCGTATCCCTCTTGTAGTTTAACATACAGGTGTAATTGTTGAGGGGAAGGGACTATTATTCAAGTAAACACTACCAGGATACAGCAACTGCTATTAAAGATTGTTAAAGAGTTTATTTATGGAGTTAAAAAATATACCACCATTATGCAAATGAAGATTATTTCATGCCAGGCAGAAGGCAAAATCTAGCAGAGTTTCATTGGTCTCAAAAACAACTAGGCAACATCAAACCTGATTAGAACATAAATGGACTTGATTTGAACCACTAGCAAAACCAGATCTGTAGATAACATCAGGTGGGCAGAAAAACCTGCTGAAAGAAGCAGCCCAAAAACCTTGCCCACTGTTGCCAGAAAACTATCTCAGTCAGCAGGAGTTGAGTTCAACTAAAAGATGACTTTTTCCATTACCACAGTAGAATGTATTGTTTATTTCTATCTTAAACATAAAAAATGTTATTTCTTATATTGCTCCTTTCCCGTGACAACTGTGAGGGAAAAAGTAATTATTTTTCTTCAAAAAGTTAGTGAGACTCTTTATTTATTTGACTTTGTATCAGTTTTTATCAAAATGTGATGAATATCTGAAATATTAGCTACTTTTTCCAACTCACATGAATAGAGTTAAATGAATAATATTTTCTTCACGTGTTCTTTTCTAGCACAACCACCATGCCTTCTGATATGAGAATAACAAATGGACTCATCTCTGTCAACCCATCGATTTGGTTCTCAAACCAGGTGGACCAACAGCCACACCCAGACCTTGTATTCCACCATCATCTCAAAAGTTGTGCCCTTGAAAGCACCATAGCATCACCTTTCATTGTCTCTGTCCTCGCAGCAATGGCTTCTGTTCTTTTGGATCTACAGAATCCTTCCTGACAAAAGAAGGTTTTTGAAGTGCAATATCAAAAAAGGGAAAGCAGATAACATTCATCTGATAATATATCTTCTCAATTCCTTGCTTTATCTGGGCCTTTCAAGCAAAGAAGTGCTAGCACTACTAACTGGTATAAGACTTTCTTGCCCAGATGGGTTTTTTTAAACACTAAAGCTTTATTTTGTACATTAACTTAACATCTTCTTTTTGTAGAAGGATCTTTTATTTCCCATACTGCTATGGGGTGTGTAAAATATATGTGTTTTATATATATATATATAAATATATATATATAAATATAAAAAGAACAAGAAAAAGTAATGTATTTATTGAACTGGCATTTTGGCCTTGCAAAACATTAATGCCATCCTTCAACTGATAAAACAGCATAATGCTGTGGGTATTCTAGCACAGAGGTTCCAGGGTTTTGGTTTCATGGATTGTTTAAATTACCTATTACTGTCTATTACCTGTTGTAGTTTGAAGCCAAGGAACTTTCATACTCTACTATTTTCTGGGTCAGTAGAAAGAAGCTAAATTATTTTCACATGCTTCTGGATGAGACAGAATTGTTTAACTAATTGCCTTAAGATAATTACAGGCAATAATTACTAATAGACATGCTTCTTTTATTCTACAGATATATTTTATGTTATCTTCAAATGTAAAAGATGTTTCATCTAAGTAATATGGCATAGAAATAATTATATGAAAATTGTCTTTCTTTTTTCCCATGTTTTCCTTTTTCAGAGTTTTTAAATCTTTCCTATGCAGCCAGCACACCTAGAAACATGTTTTTTCTTTAAAACTAAAATGGAAACTGTGATTATTCAGAGAAACAGATAAAGAATAAGGCTAGTGATAATTTGTTTTGTCTTTCCTCTGTCGCCTTTTGCATATTCCAGTTCAATTAGTTCTTGCTGCTGTTTTTCAGTACTCCAAAGTATATTTTCCTTTTACATTCAAATTTACAAATTATGGTTTATTCTTATTCTCTGCTTAAACATGTGAACTACCTAAGGCTTGAAGGATTAGGGTGCAATTCAAAATTTATAGTAATTCTGCCCTATAACTAACATCATTTTATAAATTTACTTCTTTTAAAGTAGCCTTATCATTTCTTCATTGTTACCCCCCTTTTGATCCTGCTCTGTTACAGGTATTAGACTACAAAGATTCCCAAAGAAAATTTCCACAGATCCCTAAGTTGAAGAAGACTTGTTTGTGGGGATGTTACATTCCTTAGCAGACCTTGTGAACAGCGTGGTTCCCAATACAGCAAACATTTCATTCATTGGTTGTTGCAAAATGATCAATAAAGTCATAATGCATAGTTCCAAAGGATAGTAGTCAGGCAAATCATTTCAGCTGTTGATCAACATAGAGTTTAAGCAGTCTACTAATAATGAACGGAAAGAAAAGTAATACTGATTCATATATTATTCAAAATCAGACATCCTGTCTGATTGCCATCCTGATACTTGTTTGTAAAATTGCGGATTTAGAATAGTCTGATGGGGGAGATACAGTATTTCAAAGTTAAGGATCGGAATGGGAGCAGAAAGTTCCCGAAAGGACCTCCATTTCCATCACCCCAAATTTCCAAAGGTCTAAAACTATGCTGCTAAAGCTTGGCCATTCTGCAGCTGAATTTAAGCAACTTGCTTGTCAGAGGCCTGCCATACCCCTATCGCTCCTACCATTCTCTCACCCTGAAACACAAAAAAGCCCCCCAAAATGTGATTCTCTCCCTTTTGGTGATACTGACTTCCTATCGCTATGAAAACAATTTGGCATACAATCTGTACCCGTGTGAAAAGTGTACTGCAGGATGACAAACTTGCCAAGACAATCTGGGGTAACCTTAAATATTTCAAATTTTCCATGCCCATTCTGTAATATATCACTGCAGCAGGTGTAGGTGGTGGGAAACAAATCTATTCCTTCCTCTCCTTTTTTTAATCCTTTATTATAGTTGTCAGTGTTAGAACTGATAGTATAGATATTTTTTCCACACTATTCTTTGATTCAGTTATAATTCATACAACAAAAATGTGTCTTAAAAATACGAATTTGCCAAGGTATGAAGATGTAGCAATACTTTGATTAAAAAAACACTAGAAGGATTCCCAAATCAAGATTGGCAGCTGTATTATTTTCCACTCAGAAAATAATACTTTATACTACATGACTTAATCTTCCAGGTCATTCTTGTTTATCTAAACTATAGCCACTCTACAATAAACTACAATTTTGAACAAAGAATTGACATACAGTAGATAGGGTTTAAAACAGTATGCTTTGGGATGCTGCTATACAATTTTGATTATCTGAGAAATTGTATCTTAAAAGAATGGCACTTCTTTTTAGTTAATTAAAACCCCATTCCCTAATCCACAATAAAACTGGGATGTTTATATTCTGAAAATATAAGGAGAACGGTATCAGGAAAAGCAAGAAAACCTGACTCTTCTGAATGCATAGAAATAATATTATTTTTCAAGTATATTAAAATAATTTAAACTATTCCTGTTTCCCATGACTTCGTATGTTTTCAGAAAAGACAAAAACATGTTCCATTCATTTTTTAAAAAGCAATATTCAGCCTGCTCTGAAATGTGTTGTTTTCTCCAGGACAAGTCATAAAGCAAAATGTTAAAGAGAGGGGTTTACTCTTGTGAAAATTTCAGACATAGCTGACACAGAATTCGGCATTCTGTGTTTTACCTTATGAAAGATCTGTGATAATTTGTTTACAAAGATCCATTTTCCCAACATTCTTGAGGTATTTTGGTCCACTTATTGAAAACGTGCTTTTGAAAATTTTGTTCCCAGTTTTGTTCTTTCACATGCTTATAAACACAAAGTCTCTCTGTCTCTCTCTCTCACACACACACACACAAACAAATTCTAAATCTGAACTGAAAAGTAAGCTAATTAATTTACTGGGACTTACTCCTAGGAATCTGTGTTTTCCATTGGAAGTTGGAAGATGGTACCAATGATAGGCAGAATAATTTAATGAAGAACTTTTGATTTCTTCAAGCAAGTACAACAATCAATTAGTAAAGGGAATCATGCTTGGGTTTTCTTTATTTGTTTGTTTTTAATAGAATCTTGGGATCCACCAAAAAGGAGCAAGTATAAAATTTTCTGGGAAAATTAAATGACACCAATTTAATTATTTTAAAACATCAGGAGGGAGAGGGAGTTGTCCTGTCCAAAATATGGGTGAGATTAGGATAAAAAATATTTTGACCTCAATTGAACCAAAACCCAACTAGATTTAAGCCATTTCTCCTTTTCAGAAAATACATATTGGATTGAGAGATTATAAATCAGACTTCTCTAATTCCAGATGTGTTGACCTCTGAGTAAGCAATTATGGAACCAGGTTGGGAAGGAATTCTATAAAGAAATTTCTTACAAATATCTCTTATAAATTAGATAATTACACTTGCATTTAAAAAAAAGAAAACGAGTGTCTTAGGTACTTCTTTGTCCTCATCTTGCCAAGATTTATTTAGCTAACTTAAATCAAATATTTGAAAAAAAAATCAACTGAAAAAATAAGGAGATCTCTCCCTCCCCCCCACTCTCTCTCTCCCAGTGTGAGTTTCAGTGTGGGTTGCACAAGCTCTAGAGCAGTGGTTCTCAACCTTTTTAATGCCGCGACCCCCAACTGGTCGTAAGTCGAGGACTAAACCGGTCGTAGGTCAAGGACTAAACCGGTCGTAAGTCAAGGACTACCCAACCGGTCGTAAGTCGAGGACTTTCCCTGCCTGGGAGCACCGCGCATGTATGGTTCCGCCCCCTGCGCCGGCCGAGGCATAGCTGGCAAGCGGCAGAGACGGAACAGGCCGACCACCAGCTGGCCCAGCTCAAGGGAGGTAAGGCACCCGCCGGAAAAGGGGGAAAAAATGGCGGACAGCCTTGTTTGGCGACCCCCGTGAAATGGTCGATCGACCCCAAATGGGGTCGCGACCCATAGGTTGAGAACCGCTGCTCTAGAGTAAATTGATCTGTTCCTTGAATGTTGCTGATGATTATTTTTAATGAGTATGTGTTGTATTGCTTGTTTTAAGATGCTGTTGTTTTAAATTCAGACCTAAGGCACATGGGCTAAAGTTTCATAAACAGCCTTAATGTGAAAGAGTCTCTTTATAGTACAATAAAATAATGCTGTACTTGGATGTTTTTTCTTCCTTTTTACATCTTAAAATACCAAAGTAAAACAGCCATATACATATTTAAATTATTTCTACTGCCTTTTATTAAGTGCCTTTCTGCAAAACTATCTTAAAAATTGTGATTTTGAATAAGACAAATCAAGTGCATTATAAATATTCTTTGCACAAGTGTCTAAATTTTATCCTTAATTTTTTTTCAACTGTTCAGATAGCAAATTTTGACTCATTATAATTTCCTTTTGTATAATCAGTGTGATTGTTTTCACTGTTATAAGTTCTTTTCAAATTTTCTAAACTATTTTAGCATATTAAGCTCTGCTGTGTCCCCAGTGTTTTATTACACCATCAAAATCCAACACATTTTTTAAAATAAAAAAAAAACCATCAGCTTTCAGCTCTTACACCTAAGAATGACAAAAACAATATTGGGGTGATTTTTTTTCTCATTCTCTCACCATGTTTTGTAATTGTTATGAGATTAATGATAAAAAAGATGCTTTCTAACATTATTTTGTCAAAATATTTTTGTAATATATAAATAAAAATTGCTATGAATTCACAGCATAGTAAAGGTGACTATCGTGCTACTGTTCTTCTTTTCCCCTTTTAAGATGCATGTATTTTATTCAAACAACTTGCCTTCATATCAGGAATCACTGAATTATCATTTAGAAAAAAATATTGTAAAATATACAATGCAAATGATATATAATTCAGCTGTGAATAGGAAAGGTAATAGTTACATGACCTTCATGCCCCCAGACTCAAGACTGACTTCAGATTGGTTACTGAACTTAAGTGGTAGCAGAAGA